ACCACCACCAACAACCATCGCCCTCGCCTTCTCCATCCCCAAAGCCCCCATCGGCTTGACACCAGGCCTCTTGGCCCGGTGTCCCTTGAACCGAATCTTCTTATCCAGCGCCTCAAACGGCGCCGCCCCGGCCTCCCCCTTCTTCACCATCCACTTCTTCGTGCCCAGCGCCGCGTCGAGCTCCTCGACAGGGGGCAGTTTGATGTACACCATCCCGTCACCAGCACGCTCCTCCACCGCGAACGTCGCGATGCTCACCTCGTCGTCGTTCTTGCAGCTCCCGTCCGCGAGGTCAAAGTTGCGCTTGTGGTACGGGCAAGAGACCCACGGCGCCGGCCGCTTCGCCTCGTTGCCGTCACCGCTACCATTGGTATTGGTATTGTGACCGCCGTTACACCCAGAATCAGGCTTCTTCGCATCCTCGCACTTGTCTCCGTCGGCGCCGGCACCGGGCTCCTCGCCGATGAGCCCGTCCGACAGCACAAATTGCCTCTTGTGAGGACACATCTGCTGCGTAGCATAATACCGGCCCCGAACCCGCCACACGGCAAGCTGCGTATCCCCGCGCTTCACCGTCGCTGAGATACCATTCGGCGTCTCGTCCGCGCCGAAAAAGTGACTCGCCGGCAACATGGGCTGCCAAGTCGTACTGCTCCACCTCTCCTTCAACCCCTTGAAGTCCTCCTTTGCGGACTCGGGCGCCCAGTACACCGGCCTTGGCTGGTCGCGGTCAAGCTCGACCTCCATGTTCTCGACCGTCTCCTCCGTGTTGTCGAACTGCTTGAATTTCGCGGCGATGGCCGGGTTCTTGATGGCCTCGGCCCACTCGTCAAAGAAGCTGTCGACGAGCTCCTGCATCTGGGCCTCGAGCGAGGCGCAAATACCGAGCTTGTCCTCCAAGACGACTTGCTGGAGGTACTTGATGCCGCCGGGGAGGTTCTCGAGCCAGCGCGCCGTGCGCTGGAGTCTGTCGGCGGTGCGGATGTAGAACATGAGGTAGCGGTCGATGATGGGAATGACCTCGGTGGGCGGGACGTCCTTGGCCAGCAGCTCAGAGTGCTTCGGCTTGGCGCCGCCGTTGCCGGCCACGAAGATGTTGAAGCCCTTGTCCGTGGCGATGAGGCCGAAGCTGGGGAGACGATGTTAGTGGTTTCCATGTTTCAGGATTCTGGAGGTAACGTACTCTTTGTTTTGCGCTTCGGCGCACTCGCGGACGCACCCGCTGACGCCGCCCTTGATTTTGTGCGGCGCGCGAATGCTCTTGTACCGCTCCTCCAACCGCACCGCCATGCCCACGCTGTCGCCGACGCCGTATCGACACCACGTCGTGCCCACGCAACTCTTGACCGTCCGCAGCGACTTTGCGTACGCGTGGCCGGATTCCATACCGGCTTCGACCAGCATCCGCCAGATATCCAAGAGGTCCTGCTTCTTGGCACCAAACATGTCGATGCGCTGTCCGCCAGTGATTTTCGTGTACAGCTTGTACTTGGATGCCACGTTACCGATGGCGATGAGCTTGTCGGGCGTAATCTCGCCCGCCGACACGCGCGGGACCACGCTGTACGTGCCGTTGCGCTGGATGTTGCCGAGGAAGCGGTCGTTAGTCTCCTGGAGACCGTGCATGGGCTTGTCCATGACGTGACGGTTCCATAATGAGGCAAAGATGCTGCCCATGGTAGGTTTGCAGGCCTCGCAGCCGAGTGAGGTCCGGTCGTTACCAGCCTCGCGCATGACGTCCTCAAAAGTCTGCAGCTTCTTGACGAGGATGATGTTGTACAGGTCGGCGCGGGAGTAGTTGAAGTGGGCGCACAGGTAGTTCTTGACCTCGTTACCCATGGACAACATGGTCTTGTTAAAGATTGTCGTCACGAGGGGCATGCAGCCACCGCAGCCGGTGCCGGCTTTGGTGCATGCCTTGACTTCGCCGAGCGTCTTGCAGGTACCATCCTTGACGTTGTTGACCACATCGCCTTTGGTCACATTATGACATGAGCAGATCTGAGTGTCGTCCGTCAAGTCGTCGCCGTCGTCTTCGCCCTCCTTTTTGGCACCAAGGATGAGCTGACTGGGCGGCACGTCCAACTCCTTCATGTTCTTGACCATGGGTACTAACTTGATGTAGTCTTTTGTATCGCCGATCATCATGCCACCCAGAAGGTACTTGCCGTCCTCAGTGAAGATGTACTTTTTGTACACATTCTGGAACGGATCGCGATATGTGAGTGCCTTGACAGGGGCCGGTGGTAGGCCGTTTGTCAAGGTCTTGATAGTGCTTTGCTCGTCTTCCTTTTTCGCCTTCCTTGCCACCTTTGGAGGCAAATATTGCGGGCCATCTCGGTCGGCGAAGAAGTCGCCAAAGCTAGCAACATCAACACCCAAGAGCTTCAATTTTGTGCTGAGGTCGGGTCTCTTGAATAACCGGGGCTGGTGCAGCTTGGCTTGTGTGAGATTGAACGAAAGGACGTCTGCCATTTCGACTCCGGGAGCGATGAGACCGAAGGTCTGACTTTGCCAGCTTGCACACTCCCCAATAGCGTAGATATCTGGTGCGCTGGTGCTCAAGTCGTCTCCAACAACGATGCCGCCACCACGGTCAGCGCATTTAATGCCTGCTCTCCGCGCTAGGTCGTCTCGTGGCCGGACACCAATGGCAAAACATATCGTGGAGCAGTCCATACGCTCGCCGTCTTCGAAGACTACGCCCTGGACGTGGTTGTCGCTCGTCACCTCAATCTTGCCCACGCGCTTGCTGAGGAGCACGTCGAGGCCGAGGTCCCTGACCTGATCCACGACCATGGACCCCGCGTCATTGTCTAGTTGCCGGCTCAGCACCCACCGATTCCTCTCAATCAGTTTCACCTTGTCGAAGCAGTCTAAGTCCATCATCGCCTTGGCCGCCTCCAGTCCGAGGAGACCACCACCGACAACCGCTCCCACGGTTCCTTTCCTTTGGGCGGCGAAGGCGATGAGGTTGATGAGGTCGTCAATCGTCCGGTAAACGAATACGCCTGTTGCGTCGTGCCCGGGTGTGTGCTTGGGAAGAACGGCATCTGAGCCGGTGGCAATGACGAGAATGTCGTACGGTACGATCTCTCCATTCGAACAGGCCACCCGTTTGGCTTGGGAGTCAATGTCAGTGACTCTGGTGTTGACGTGATACCCGAAAGAGCCCTGAGGCGTGCTGTGGTACTAGTCAAGGAATCAGCAAAGAGTAGCGAGTCTACGAATGGGTGCGTGCACATACCCATTCTTCTGGGTTGAGGTAGAGATTCTCGACTTTTCGGTGGTCAAAGAAGCTTGTTAGGCCAACGCGGTTGTATGCAAGGTGAGGTTCCTCTCCAAGCACCGTGATGCTGTACTCGTTTGCGCGGGCGTCCAGCTTTAGCATCTTCTCACTTGGAACAGTTAGTCAGTCGGGTCACACCACTTGATGAATCGCAGGACTCACATGAAGGCGATGCCGACCATTCCCAGGCCGACAACAACGAGTCTCTTTCGTTCCGCCATGTTGAAAACACAAATCACCAATGAGATGCGATAAGCAGCAAGAGTACACTCAGAGAGCGAAGGAGAATCAAAAAGAGAAAACGAGAAAACAGATAGGACTCCCTACAAGGTCTAATATCGGAGGTCTTCGGGTTCATTATGCCATGATAAAAGACGCAGCGTTCTCCCTCGGCGCACAATGAAGTCAGTGCAAGCTTGATCCGCTGGGATCAGCATCTCCGGCGAGACGGATGACCAGCCAGAGGTGCCCAAGAGCGATGAGCGCTGATTGGCCGCAGGGCTGAGACGATGACATCTGATTGAGCATCTCCACGGTTTGCATCGAAGAGAGTTTGGGGTCAAAGTACTTTGTGGTGGCACGGATAGGTATTACCATTGAGCAATTGTACGCTCTTGAAGTCGAGTGACATGATAACGGGGTGGGAGACCATCGGATGATAAGAGCGAAACTGGCCAATCAGAGGTCTGTTGACTGGACCCACAACGGGCGGCTCTCGTTGCGCCGCGGAGAAAGAGACACCACCCTCCCACCTGTTATGCGTTATTAGTCTCCCGAAACCACAAACCGCGTGGGGAGGCTTGTTTTGAGTCTCCTAGGAGAAAGAGAAACGAGGTTCCGCTGTCGTCTGTGTGCGGCAGATAAGCTCAGTCTCATTTGATTTGAGCCAGGCCTGATTGGACAACCCTACTGAGACAACACGCATACAATACCTATTCAAAGACGGAGATGCTGCACTTGCTCCCGGCGATTACAAGACCCTTTTAAGCTGAGGTACCGAGACCGGGCACCTTATAGTTGTAATTGTAAGGTAGGTAAGGTAAGGAAGGTGCTTAAGGTCCAGCTTCTCACATCCTCCTCCAAGGAAGACTACAGTCGCGACTGTAAGGCCCGACTCCTCCAGGTTAGAGTCGCAAGTATAAGTTCCAGCTCCTCAGGCAGTTAAGAGTCGCGACTGTAAGATTCAGCTCCTTCAAGGTAGACTACAGTCGCAACTGTAAGACCCAGATCTCCTAGATTACGATTGGAACTGTACCGTCTGACTCCTTCCGTATGACATCGGCTGTAGTAGGAATAGGTTAAAGTAGTGCGATATATAGACGAGCCTTATTGGAGCGAACATGACGATGCCGTTCGTGATGCACCGCAGACTCCCTGACGTTCTCGAACTTCCACCTCAAGAATACGAATGCGTTAGCAATCGAAACTCAAACTTGTAGCACAAATCAACAAATCAGATCACAACAGCCCGCCTTATGCCAACCAGCCATCACTCACCTATAGCCTGAGTGATTCCTCGTCAGCCACAACTCTTATGGTGCGAACAAGTGATGTGCTTGGATCATGCCGCCCATCCGATGCGGTCTTTTGAAATGGTTAACTCGCCCCATCAAGGCCAATTCTAGGTAAAGGGGGGGGGTATCACCAGTGCCCATTATTATACAGTTACTTTTACACACCCGACTTCTTCATACATGCGTGTAGACAAATCTCACGCCGCCCGCCTCACACCGAAAAAGTAGTTTCCAACCTTCTCGCTGCCCTTGACCTCCCTCCACCCGAGACCAGGCACATACACAACCCCCATGACCCTCGGCATCTCCCACCCCTTCCCCATAAACATGCCCTTGAGCTCGTCGTCGTTGATGTACTTGCGCCAATCGTGCGTGCCCTTGGGCACAATCCCCAGAATATCCTCGGCAATCAAATTCGTCGTAAACCAGCTCGTCCACGTCCTCGCAATCGTACTCCCGATAAGCCACCCGCCAGGCCTCACAAACGGCGCGCACCGGTCAAGGAACTCAGCCGGCGACGACACGTGCTCGACGACCTCAAACACCGACACCACATCAAAACACTCCTCAACCTTGGTCGGAACGGGAAGCGTCTCGATCGTAGCGGCCTTGTATTCCAGCTTGCCCCGCAGTGCCGGATCACGCCGCGCGTGGCCCTTTGCGATGGCGAGCACGCCGGGCGTAGGATCGACGGCCGTGACTTTGGTAGTGTCGGGCAGCCGGGCCGCGCTCTCGGCGAAGATGCCGCCGCCGCAGCCGACGTCGAGGAAGCGCGTGGGCGTGGGTGACGGGTCGGGTTGGCTGGCAAGGCAGTCGCGGATGAAGTTGTGGCGGAGGGGGTTCATTAGGTGCAGAAGGCGCGAGGAGCCGTGGGGGTCCCACCAGTCGGCGGCGAGGATGTTGAAGTGCTCGACTTCTTCGGGGGAGACGGACGAGTAAGTCGAGCTCGAGGTTGAGCTTGGCCGGCGGAACTGGAGCGGCGCGGCGGCGGCGGTGGTGGTGGTGGCTGCAGGCCCGGGACCAGTTCGGAGGGGGAGTGACGTTGCAGCCGCGCGGGAGGATTGTCGGGATGCCGTGCTTGTCCGCCGCAGCGCGCGCAATAAGGCGGCTGTGGCCGGGCGAGAAGATGCCATGGCGATTTGTGGTCGTGGGTACGGATCGTAGGTGTGGGGATTGAATGTGCTGGTGAGGATTTGATGGGAAATCCAGAGCTTGGAGAGAAAAATTGATGACAAAGCAGATAGCTGTGACGTGCTAGGGTACTCCGGGAGCCAGGGGTTGGAGAAATTGGAGAATCTATTCGCGACCTCGGCGCTGTCACCGAATCAGTGTGCACTCGAATCGGCAGCTTCCCCTGCTGGTTGATCTGCACCCATCTTCATCTGCAAATGCGGCATTCCGTTATAGGTGACATTCGCGTGCATTAGAGCATAGCAGAAACACCGACCAGAAATTGTAGCAAATACAGCGCTCAAAGAATCAAATGTGCTCAATTCAACAACTTTGGAATACCTTAACTACCCAGAAATTGGCTGAACCCGCACCATGGAAACCGTACCATTTGGGCCTTGGCTAGAACAGGGCCGCGCGCGGGTGCTTATTCGGAAGCTTTGTCAGCGCCCACTTCATGTGTAATTCTGACTGCACCTTATGTAATCCGCACGATCTCGGTTCGCGCCGGTTGGTCGCATCTGGATGTCTTCGCATCCGTGGCATCTCACCTCAGCTGTTCGAGTTCCTACCAAGGTACTCCGTGCTCCGTAGGTAATATGAATGAGCAGACTCTCCGAGGTGCCAGGAATGGTGGCTCCGCGCTAGAACTCTGAAAGCCCGACCGCCGCCCGAGATTCCATGCCCGCTAGCCGATTCCTCGGCGCATTCGGCGCCAGTAGCATTGAGCCCCTCCTCATCCCACCACAATTGTCCAGGGGTCCAAAGTGCAGTTGCACGCACGCAAGACGCAAGCACATGGATGACAGGCGCAGACCAGTCTAGTGTGCAAGTCGGCCGGCGAATCCCATGAGTCAACCAACAAAGCCGAGCGATCCTCGGGACCTTTTTTTTTTTTTTTTTTTTTTTTTTTTTTTTGTCGTCCTTGCGCCGGCCGACGACGACATGTCACATTTATAAAGGCAATCCTCCACATTGCGTGCTGAGATATTCTATTGAACACGGTGTACTATTTGGCCGATGTTATATAATAAGTGCATCCTGAAGTTACAAGTTTGAGTACATTGACAAACAATTTGAACATCGCCGAGATACAACACTTTAGAGATCGGCTCAGATCCTATCATCCGCCAACTTCCAGGGTCAAATAAACCGGAACCGGCCCAGAACTCACTCAAAGAAAGCCCCATCCTCTTCCGCCCGTTTTGCCTTGCCTCCACTCCTTCCGCATGACGGAATATCGGGTGCGTTCCTGCTGAAGAAAAGGGAAAAGAAAAAAAGACGATAAAGGAGACCCGTACCCGCACCCGCCTTCCAGCCCCTGGACCACCGAACTTTGCCCGCAGAACCCCCAAGCTAGCACCTAATTTCTGCCATCTTCCACACGCGCGCGCGGGGATCGGCCTTTTCAATTGAACAACAACCCCTCCCCCTCACCCCTCCGTCCCGTTCGTCCACCACCGCCAACTCCAACAACACATCGTCACGAGCGAAACCTCAGCCTCGACCACAACCTCAACTACCACCACCACCACCACCACCACCTCTTGCGCACTCTCGCCTCTTCCTCTTCGCACCTTCCACAACGCCCCATTCCGCCCTCTCCATACACCAGCCGCAGCAATGCCTTCCTCAACAATAGACGAGTCAAAGTTCGACTCCATTCCTGACGCCATTGAGGCATTCCGTAAGTAATCTTCTACCCCGGAACTTCCGCTCAACCTCCCTCCCGCAAACCCTCTTCCGCCTTGCGCGCGCGCGCGCGCGCCTGCGCGTCCACTGGTCTCTTCCCCTTTCAATGCGTCATAGACACCATTCACTGACTCGGCCACCATAACCCCCAGGCAACGGAGAATTCCTCGTCGTCCTAGACGACCCCTCCCGCGAAAACGAAGCAGATCTCATCATCGCAGCCGAATCCCTCACCACAGCCCAAATGGGCTTCATGATCCGCCACTCCTCGGGCTACGTCTGCGCCCCCCTCGCCCCCTCCCTCCTCCAAACCCTCAACCTCCCGCCCATGGTCTCCACAAACGAGGACCCCCGCGGCACAGCCTACGCCGTCTCCGTCGACGCCGCCGATCCCCTCGTCACAACCGGCATCTCCGCCCACGACCGCGCCTTGACCTGCCGCGTCCTCGCCGACCCGGCCTCGGGCCCCCAAGACCTCCGCAGACCGGGCCACGTCCTGCCGCTGCGCGCGCGCGAGGGCGGTGTGCGCGAGCGGAGGGGCCATACCGAGGCCGCGGTTGACTTCTGCAGGTTGGCGGGCAAGAAGGAGGCGGCGGCGATTTGCGAGATTGTCGATGATGGTGTTCCTGTTGAGGGGCAGGCCGTGCACGAGGAGCCTGGTATGTTGAGGGGCGAGCAGTGCATCGAGTTTGCGAGGCGGTTCGGGCTCAAGGTGTGCACTATCGAGGCTCTGGTCAATTATCTTGAGAAGACGGAGGGTAAGCTGGCTGTAAACGGGTCGTCGTAGGCTGGGCGATGGGGTTGTTGATTTTCGCTGGTTGGGTTCCGGGTCTGGTGGACCGCGGCTTGGTGGCAGGTTAAGTCACGTCTACTCGATTGTTAGGTTCGAATAGCTTCGGTTAGCTGGAGGGTTGAGCAAGGATGAGAGGCCGCCTTCGCAAAGGGAGAAGAATTTGCGGAGAACCGAGACCATACCCGCTTAAGAGAAGGTCAGAGAACACCACTTCGAGGTTGCAAAAGAGGATATCCTGAGCCATTGGGCCGGTGCGGCTAGTTACGGGGCAGTTGCACCGAGAAGAGAGGGAACGAGGAATCGAGCAAGATGGACATTGCATATTGCGATATGTATATACATTGGTATATCTTTGGACATGGCGGGTTACTTTAAAGACAACGGCTCAACACCACAAAACAACATGGGCGCTTTACGGGTGCTCTGAATCTTACTCCTCTCATCTGCGTCACATCTCGGTCGTACTGAAAACTGACACGCGGCGTCTAGTCGCAGCTGTCAAGTCCCAACCCAACGTTGGCATTGCCTGCTTGCTTTCAGCCCAAAGTGATTGAATCAAAACTCACAGGGGCTGGCTATCTGGGAACTGGGAGATCAAAGAATGAGATGGTCGTTATCTCTACCGTCCTTAGATCACAAAAGGCCATCACTCACGTATCGCGCCAAGCTCCTCCCGAGCTGGTACCCGCTACATAAACAAAAGAAAACCACACCAATAATCTATTTCACTGCAATGAGTATGCTGAGACATGATTCCTTTGCAGTACAAAAACCCGACCTTCGCACTACACCTTGACCAACGGACTGAACCCTCCGCGGCGGCCATTCAAAATATCCACTCCAGACAATTGCCACATCACATAGTCCCTGATGATGTCCGTACCTAACAACGCAAAGCGTTCTAGTCGATCTACTCCCCTCTCCTCCCAAGGTACCCGTCACACGATCTATTTACCAAAATCCGCAACCCATACCCCGGCACACTGCACCCGCCCCAAAACCATGCAAGGTGCAAAACAACACCCACCAACAACAACGTGAAGAAGAAAAAAGCTGTCTTTAAGCGGTCCACTAAGGTACGGCGGGTGACATTCTGGGAAGGGAGTACAAAACATCAAAAAGGTTGTACCTGGGCTACCGACCAACGACCAACGGAACCAACCAAGCCACCGGGACAGAATGAAGCATGTTTGGTTCAGGCATGCGAACCTGGGGCGTGCTGGGCTGGCCAGCCTTCGGCAAACCCGATATCTTGGCCACTGCAGATCGGCACGTATTTCATATCTGCGGTTCGGGATGCCGATGACAGTGAAGCCCATTTTATGCTGGAGGTAGTCAATCAAACCCCCATGCACTGATACCTCAACAACGCCACCTCGCAAAAAGAAAGCAAAAGAAAACAACAACGCGCATTGTCACTAACTGCCTATATCCTCCAGATGTAGTAATCATCGTCACGATGCCCGCATGCGTTATGCCGTGTATCCATCCCAATGCCCTGTGCCGGATGCAAGAATGAGTATCAATGCAATTCCCATCACAACGGGCACCCCGCGGCACAGGATGCACCTCGTCTAATAACGTCAGCAATGCATGTATGTATCCATCATTATCATCGTCGTCGTCATCATCATCCTCTTCTTCTATCTCAATCCCTAGACAATCGAAATCATGAGGTGGAAGCCAAGATGAACTCAGCATTCGAGCTTCTCACCCTTCATCCACTCCCCCAAGTCTCCCTCGATATCATACGTCGCGTTGGCGACCTGTCCCCCAGGCTTACGGTCCCAGGCCCACATGTCGGCGTACTCGGCCTCGAGCTTGCCGTGCATCATCTTGACGACGTACTCGCCAATGACGGGGAAGAACTTCCAGGCGTGGAACGAGCCGCCCGTTGCGACGTAGAGGTTCTCGCAGCGGGAATGAGGGGAAATAAGAAAGTCGTGCCCAGGCGTGGTCGCGTCCCTGTCGTGTCGCGTGGCGGTGTAAGCATATCTTGGGCCGAGGTTTTACGGGTGATACGATGGCAGCAACGGGGGGGCAAGACTTACCAGCAGACACGGTACTTTTCAATCACTTTGTCATTCATCTCGTCTCCGTAAAGACCTTTGAGGGTCTTGCGAGCTTGCTCCTTAAGGCGCTCGGGAACTCCGTCTTCGGTCCACTCGGTGAGACTTGGAGACGACGGTGCGAGTGACATGGTCTTGCCAGTCATGGCGTGAAACTGGTGATATGTAAAAGCCATGTCACAGTTGAACTTGAGTGTTCCGTCCGGAGTCATGGACATGGACTCGCCTGCTCTCTTGTCAATATCTGCACTAGTAGAAACAGTTCAAATGACTCACCTTTGACCGAGGGAATACGGTTCTTGAGCACGGGAATGCCCTCAAACTTGTCCTTGTGCGCCCCCTGAACGCTGGTAGTGAAGCTCACGGCACCGGTAGCAACGACTCGATCCCCAGCATGAAGCTCCTTACGCTCAGGTGCACTCTCCAGGAGCAGCGACGAGGTACGAGCACCAGTGCAGAGCAACACGACGCCCTTGACCTCGTGTCCGTTGTCCAGCCTGACTCCGGTGCAGTCTCCTTCGCTGCTGAAGAGCAAGCTCGTGACCTCGGCCGTGATGAGCTTGGCTCCCTCGTCGATAACTTTCTGGCGGGCAGCTTCGAGAGAGTTGGCCGCCTCGAACCAGCCGCACTGAGGGTTATACCTCACCCGGTCGAGTCCCTCAAAGTCGGCCGTGGCAAAGGCAGGCCATTCGGCTCGCACCTCGTCAGGAGTCATCCATCTGGCGCCAGACTCGTGGCCGAGGGCGCGATGGACATCCTGAGCCTTGTCGTTGTGGTTCTTATCCTTATTATTGTGAGGTTCAGCACGGATCATGCCGACTTGGTGGAAGAAGGGGTTCCAGAAGGAGTCAGTCTCCCAATACCTCAAGGCCTCGATGGCCAGCTTTGCGTAAGGCAGGTTTGGATAGTCATTCCTGCCAATCTTGGAGATGTCATGGGACGCCGCCTTGGGGTTGGCGAGGGCGGTAGGGTCAATGAGAACAATACTGCAGTCAGGCTTGTATTTACGCAGCCAGATGATCGTAGAGAGGCCAAAGATGCCTCCTCCAACGACGATGTAGGTTTCCGACTTGACGCCGGTGCCCTGAGGGGCTGTGAATAGCGATGACTTGGCCATAATATGTTTTTCTTGTAATGTAATCTGCTTCTGAGAGCTGGTTGTAACTAACACGAGGGAGATCTCACATCACTTCGGGCACGGCTCGAGTCTTTATATAGATAAACACGTCAGCATCTCGAAGACGGAAAGAAGACAGAAACGAGCAACGCATTATCCACAAGGGAGAATGTTTGATACACACGCCTGTGCCTACGTCTACGCCTCAGTGGCTTCTTCCGTCCATCCGTTCCTTCGTCGTCCACGGCTCAGGCGCGGATATCCGTTCTACTCCAAGGTACCCGCGCAGCAAGCACGTACGAGATTAGATGCCGACGTCCAACCGACCACCGATGGCACACGCCGTCCACTCGGGGAAGGACCGACGTTGACACTTGGATCTCCTAGGAAAACTCGCCATCATCCTCTCTCCCTAGGGGGAGTCGTGCGGGAAATCAAGTGACCTGGAATGGCCTGACTCTGAATCCCTGGAGTGAGGATCTAGAGTGAATGGAGGCGGCCGGGCCCCGGGAAATCCCAGATGTACATGGTCATGGGCGCAGCGCAGCTGGAGTGCAGGAGGACGGGGTAATACGACTTGCATTCATTCGATGGGGCCATGCCGTGTGTGTTCTATGCTGCCGTTGTTGGAATCATGGGAGTGAGTATACCCACGACAGCCAGGACACGACGTCGATTCGCATCCCATCACATCAGTAGAGGGTGGCGAAAACCCAGGAGAGTTCGGGTTAGACAGAAAGAAAGGGCGACGAAGGAGCAGAACGTCGCAACAGAAGCGGCGTATTCGTCTCGGGAGTGGCAGCAGGCGGCGCCGAGCGAGGTGAGACCAAACCAGGCGGCTCCCGGGGCACGGAGGGATCTGCGATCTGACAAGATTGGTATCCGTCGTCACATAGACAGTAGCGTAGTCTGGTGTAGGTAGTGAAGTGCAGCGTAAACCACGTTGAGATGGATGGTCGTTGCTTTGGGCTTGTGAGGTGAAGTGGTGTTGTGACTTGTCGATGCGAGAGTGTTGGAGGGGACTTTGGAGGGGGGTGCAGTAAGCGAGTAATGAAGGGGACCGGGGGGGTGGTTGCCGTCGAGGATGCGGGTCTTTCCAGGTTGCGCTTGCGGTTCCGCTTTCTTGTCGTCGTTGGAATCGAGCAAGGAAGCCACGATCTCAAAGGGTTGAAGTTGCCTTAGGTAAGGCAGCTGCCATGGGCCATGCCGCCATGGGCCATGGGGGAAAGAGGAGTGGAGTGGAGGAAGGAAGAGGAGGGTCAGGTCAACTGTCAGGGGGGAAGGAAGAAAGCAGCATCAGTGAGGTACGTACTCGATAGTGACCCTAGATTGATATCCAGAACGGGCAGGGGTCTTGCCCATCGGTGCGGCGTGCCATGGGTACCCGCACACTGTTACTACGTAGGAAAGTGTTGCACCATGGCCCTGCCTTGTTCGTGACTGCCAAACTGTGCCGTGTATTCTCATTGGTCCGGCCTTTGTTCCTCTCCAAGTGACCAATCACAGCTCGACTGCCTCAACAACCTTACCCTTGGCTTCCATCAAGAACATCAACCCCCTAGCCTAGCGTTCTTTTCTCAGCAAAAGAAGACCAGGATCATTGATATCTCGACAAATGTTCAAGACCCAGCCCAGCTGACTGTCTAATTCTACTCCCGTCCCCGTGCTCCATACCTTACTCTTAAGCCTGCAATGAGGAAATGCTCAAGACGCCAGGAAACGCCTAGGGCGGGACGACAACCCTTGAAGATTCTCCATATCACTAACGCAGGCCACGACGAATCCAGCGTCGTGCGATTCGTACCGCTGATGGATACTCAACAACTCCATCCCAAGACCAAGAAAAGCCCACGAGGGGGGGTTCCATTCCTCCTCGGAAGTCTGCTCTCCTCGAATTGAGGTCGTAGTGCATCCACTTCTTGCCTCAAACTAGAACAAGAGCACTCACTCATCTGTTCGACGTACGCAGTCTCGAGTAAGGTTGGTCGTAGCGATGGGTGTCTAGATAGCAAACTTGCGAGTTGCATACCTACACAGAATTCAAGACTCTTTCCGGACATTGCTCCTCTTCCGGATGGACTGGCCGTTTTCTCGTTGCTTTTACCGTTGGTTTTTGGGGTGGTGTTGGGTTCAATTACCTCACTCGAGTAGCAGTAGCAGTGAATACCTTAGTTGCCTGACTGTGGTTCCCAAAATACGCCATGTTCCAGCTTTCTACTGAAGCGGGATTCTTGCCGTAGCTCCCAATCGAAAAGACGTGTTGGTCAATCCCTTGCTCTCTATCTCTCTGTGTCAGTGTTTCCTTCTCCCGCTGTCTTGCAGTTACTCTCCTCTTCTCCAGCGACCGCCAAGAACCAACTTCCTCACGTCTCTGGCGCGCTTCTGGCGAAAGGGGGGGGGGGGGGCACCCGCGCCCCGAACTCGATCGACTGCATACCCATCCCTACCAGCAATTCACTTCAGTCAGTATGGCCGATTTTCGAGATACGGGTTCCCAGGCTCATTAGACATACCATGTTCCATCAAAATCAATGGCCAAGCCTGGGCACTTTCCTGCTGCGGTGTCTTGCTGCGGTGCGCCACCCATCATCTCTCTCTCCGCGCTAGTGTGCAAAGGACAAGAGAAAAAGTCTCTTCCTTCCAACCAACTAACTCTCACACTCTATGTGTCTGCTGGCTCTTGACCTGGTGCCGGTGCCTGGTATGCTTCCCTCCCATTTTTTTCTTTCTGCATTTGCCTCTTTCTCTCCGCGGCGTCTGTCGTTCTCGTATTATTTTCTCTACCCCCTTTCCATCCTACCTTAATGATCTGACATGACAGTCTTACCCCCAATTCGAGAAAAAGGCGCATGTCAGAAGGCGAGACAATCGCCTCTGTGACACCAACCCCATCATAGATGCTCTGCCGCCGTCCCGTGTCCAATCGCTTGTAAATGAGTGCAGGTGCAATTGTATGTAAGGGTTCAGAAACTGTAGTGAACCCAGGTCTTTTTCTCGTACATCTCCTTCGGGAGACGATCTGCCCACGAGGTGTTGTTGCACCAGGCTTCACCAGCGTCCTTTTCCCGTACGACACGACATCTGATGACAGACGGGCATTTGCTCCGTAAGGTAGCCAGCCCTCCCTCTCCTGCCTTGCCTGCCCCTCCCTCCCCCCTCCCGCGACCAAGCCTGCAAGGTCCAGAGTTCACAACGGGGGAGGGGAGGCACCACACAAGCTGACGCCCACGGCACATCTCCCGCTTAGTTTTGACTGTGTCCCAGTCACCCTTCCACCAGGTTCTGAGCCGTCTTGCCGGTCCACGTCCTGGCATCTCATCATGCCGGCAGTAGTACAGTACGAATACGCCCGCCCGCCATTTTCCCTTCTAAGGTTGTTTGCTTTGCGCGTGCCAGTCCCAGGACCCCGTATCGCAGCGTTTGAAGGATTTCCGTAGTAAGCGGAAACTAATCAGAAACCTGGTAACACTCGTGATAATAATTAGGTACTACAGCTCAGATACAGAATATCGACGTCGACGATTTCTCTCCCAATGAGTCAGTATCTGCCAGGTTTAACCGGCAGGCATGTCTACCCACCTAGACTATTTCGTGACGACCTTGGCCCAACGTCTTTCGACTGCCATCTTTGATGGCGCCCGCATGAGATTGTCCATGTTTCACTGGCACACCGCAAAGCCCAAAGAATTACCAATCGGCATCTCCTGCAGATGTTGCCGACTGGAACGTTTCCTCCGTTCGCTGTTTGTTGGACTCTTTCCGAGTTTTCTTCGAAAGACGGCGCAGCGCAAGGATACAGAGACTTGTCCAATAAGCGGGCATGGGTTTCTTCGCCAACAGAATGATATTTGGCGACCAACATCGATCGTAGTCCGTGAGACTTTGTGCACGCATTTCCGTGCAAATGTTTCATAGGTGGGCTAAACCCTCAGGTACTCTCTCATACAGCAGCCAACCACCCGGTAGTCAAGAACCAGACTGCTCTGACCAACCAGCTCTCCCATGCAAGGCGCATCATGTGCGCGTCCCAATCCAAAATGACTGTCGCTGACCCCTCCCAACATGAGAGTAATGATACATTGTGCTAGCCCAACGCCATGGAATGCTTGTCCCTTATACCAAGCAAGAAACAGAGAGAGAAAAAACCGCTGTTGCCCCCAATCATTATGTCGTGCTGTAAATGGAATTCGCTCTGCCTGCCCCGGATGCCGTCCCGGTTGCTGGTCCGGAATTCAATCCGGCTGCAGACTAATTCATGAGCTTAGATGCAATACTACCTTCGGGCCCCAGGCAGCGGTAAGGGCTGGTCGTGCTTGACATTTTGCTGATGTCGAACTAACTGGTCCTTCCTGGCGAATCCGTCTTTATTTGGACACCCTGGTAGTTGGCACTTGTGAGGTTTGGAATGCTTCTGCAAGTGTTGCCTGCTCCTATTAGCGTTGAACTCAGAGATGGGACCCAGCCGTCATACCTGTACATGCAGTTCCGGTGAAAGATCTTGGGTCCCCCGTTGATATTCTGACCCCCTTTTTGGCACGTCCTCCAGTAAGGGCACCTATACTCGCCCTTACCTCTGTGTCGAAGAGAGTCCATATCCACACGATTCGGGTTCCTCTCGTCCGAGTCGTCCGCATCCAAGACATCGTCATCCTCCTCTTCGTCCTCGTCATGTGGAGATGGCGGGCTGGTTGATCGCCTGTCACCATCAGATGGATGGTAGGTGCGCGAGCTGTCAGAAAATGATGCTTGAGATCCCACCGCAGAGAACCCTGTTGTCGAGCTTGATCCTAAAACGGAAAATGACGACCTGGAGCTGGAGTCTGAAGCCATAGGGTGTTGTCTGTACTCTGGAAGATATCTGTTTTGGTGTGGTGGAGCTGCACGGTCTCTGATGGTCTTCAGATTGCCCGCACTGCTGTTGATTTCTTCCTTCATATTGCTAAAACGCCGTCAGCAGTGTGCACCTCCCACGGCCAGAAAGATAGAAAAGTACTTGAACGCACTTTAGCATTTTGTGTTGAGTTTTTGCGAATTCCAGAATGCCCATGTCGTTGAACCCATTAGCGCGGTAGGCCTGGTCTACGAGATTGTGACCGGTCGATTCCAAGCGCTCTTTCGTCAGGTAGTCGTCGGTGAACTTCTTAAAGGCATCGAAAACATGCATCGTGACGTCTGCCATGTACGCCAATTCGCCTTCTCTCTGACTGTGCCGTGGAAATGTCTTTCGGAATTCATCAAATATGCCCGTGAACATCATGAGAGCCTCCGTCTCCCGGTTGACGGCCTTCTCGGGGTTGAGTAACGAGTTGATATCGAGAGGCATGTTGAAAATAGTGGCGTAGCCCGAAGCATGAACTCAATTAAGATGGTGCCTATTCGTGGATGGTCGTGAGTTATATCGTGCCAAGTTGAAACAGCAGGCCAAAACGGTTGAGCTTGTCGTTTGGAGCGAGTGTTACGGTGGAATATCGAGACTTTGATGTTGGAGTGAGGACCGGTGGTGATAGTAGTTCAGCAAACCATTTCGAAGCAGACCAAGTGGGTCTTTGTGGAAGAAGGCAAGCTTGATGATGCTGGCCAGGCCAAGGAGGGATTTACGAGGAGTCGAGAGTTGAGACGTTGAGAGAGGGCAAGCGTTGGCGTTGGCGTTGATGGAGCTAGAGAAGTGCTAGAGGTAACGTCCCGGTCACAACTCAGGAAAAGTTTGTAGGATTTGGGCAGGGGAAAGTAGAACTTGAAAGATGGAGACGGGTGGAGAGGGGGTTGAGTTGAACAAAGTGACGGGGGAGGGGAAAGAGAAAAGAGATAAGACCCGAGTCTAGCAGAAACACACGAGGGACGGCGGATAGGGCCAGAGGAGAAGCTAAGGTAAGGAGTAAGCGGTTGAAGGCAAGGAGAAAGAGAGGGACAGAGAGAGGATCAATCTGATGGATGGAGAGTGACAATCGACGGGGCGAGGCCGGGGGGAAGGGGAGCGGCAAACGGCCAGAAAGCGGATCTCAGGCTGGCACGAGGGGGGCAAACGGCTCGCCGAGGACGCAGCAAGCATGCAATGGCGCGTTGGCGACAGCGATGATATTGGCGAGAGGTGCGTGTGAGGAAATGAAGATGAGAGAGTGGTGGTGAATCCTCCAAGTAGCTGCAGATGCGGTCTCAGTCGTAGTGCCAGTCCCTTGCCTCGTTACGCCCGTAGGAATCGGTCAAGCAGAAGAGCCAAAAATCCCAGGACTCAGGGCTCAGAGCTCAGAGGAGAGAGGAGCCTGAAGGGGGTGGGAGAAGAGATGGAGAGGGGGCAATGATGAAAAGCCTGACGGAGGAGTCTTGGTGGACGGAGGGGGGCAAGACACGACACGAAAGAGAAGAGCATGGCATGGCGAGTGAGGCAAGTAGAGGATCCCGCTGCCGCTGCCGCTACCGCAGAACGTGAGAGGAAGTGAAAAGTGGAGGAAGAGAAGAACAAGAACGAGGCCATCCATGAGGAGAAACTGGAGTGGCATTCTGCATGTTTCTGCATGTCTAAGACGGAAGGGGTGCAAGGGCCAATGGTGGGTTGACGGTTGGCTTCGCGTGGGTGGTGCATAAGCAGACCGAATGTAAGCAGCGCGAGACAAAAGAGGGAATGGGTGCGACGCAGCAGTGGCAGTAGCGACGCAGCGGCGGGAAGAAGCAATTGTGCGGCTCGAGGCAGGGCAAGTTCGGAGGGGAGGGGGGGAGGAGGGGCCCAGAACGCGGCCGATCTGAACGAGAAGTTCAAATGTCCAGAGCATCCGTACAGACTGGAGTCTCCATACCTAAGCGTGCTAAGGTACCTTTCGGCGTGGGAGTGGATGAGAGACATGGACGAGGGGGGTGCGGGCAGGCACCGTTACCGGGACCCATAAGGCAGGTTGACCGGGTGGGGATCATGGAACCCAAGGCACGGCCGCAGGGAGACCTTGGAAGATAGGTACCTTACCTTACTTTACCTCACCTTACATAACTTGGAGTGAGGAAAGTACGGAATACTTGATTACCTAGTATACTACCTTATCCTTCCACTTTGAAGTATCGGAAGGCGGCAACAGATGACAGGCAGGACCGACTGGTAGTTGATGTGTCCTTGTCAATATCTTGGGTATCTTATGGGAGGTATGCTCGGGGCAGGCAAATCATAGTCTTCCTTCTCCTCCAAGTTGAAAGATGTCAAAGAAGAAAGAGCGGTGTCAGTCACGGTGGTGAGGATGGCACTACCTATCCTCGCACTAATTATCTGGATGGGTGTTGCAGCATAAGATAAGTTGGGAGTTGGAAACATGTCAACATCTACGCCTTTGTGGACGTACCAGACGTAGTCTGATGGAATCGTAATGGCAAGCCATGGGGCTCCGGGATTTGTCCGAAGGGTGGATGCCCATCTGAACGCCGGTTGATGACATCTCGATGATGTCGATCAGCATGTTGGGAGCTGCTGGTGCTAGAACCGGTGCCGTTGCCGGCGCGGATAGCGACCAGACCGTTGGTACCGCTTCTGTTGGTTGCGCGGCTTTGCCGAAGCGATCAAGGTCAAGGTCACGGTCATGAACATGGTCTGAGTGATGAAAGGTGATGATGTCCACGATGGCGAAAGTGGCACCTGGCAGACGCCTCATATCAGCAAGGGTTAAGGGCTATGGCCGCGGATAGATGAGAGACAAAGAAAGATATGAGGATCCAGGAACAGCATGGAAGATAAAGCAAGTACTGCAAGCTGGGAAAGAATGTAATTATTGCCCAACTGCAGCGTGCTGGAACTGGAAATGAAGTACGGATACCATCCGTCGACCAGGATAAGGCATTTCTGAACTGCTCTAATCTTGCATGAGAAAGAGAAAAGATGTGCTGCAGGTGATAATAATTGTGGTTGCAACTTGCCAGACCCTTTTTTACTCCGTCGGGATCCGTACGGACATTGGGCGCCTGTCTGCCCGTCTTCCAGGTTGGTATCCGTAAATATTTTGGTGCATGAGGGATCGGCAATCCCTCCCCACGTCGTATCTTTTGGAGAATCGTACACTTTATTGAGAATCGAGGTAAGAAGAGGCAAAAGAAAACATGTAGGTGGTAATGGAAGACCAAGGTACCATGCATGCCACGATTCCCTCCCGTGAACTTCACGGACGGCGGTCAGGTCATGGAACTCGAAAGGTCAGGCCAGGGTCGTGAAGGCAGGAAGAGCGTGGGGCGGGCGGGCGAGGGATGAGGTGAGGTGGAGGAAAGTTGAAGTGGGCACTGGGAAAGCTGTAAGGACAGAAACGAATACTGGGGAGCTGGTGAGCTGTGAACGAGCTGCAAAGCGGCAAATACCCATTTCACGATTGTTGCTGGGCGCAGCGCCGCAGACTTGCAAGTTGCCCGCTTGCTGCAGCATTGATCGGTTGGTTGGATTTGCAACATTGGACCAGGGAGAAATGCATGTGCGAGCGAATGGGGAAAGGTCTGCCTCAGAAAACCCATGTCTACAGACTGGCACACTAACAGATTACAGTAGGCAGGTGGGTGCAGGTCGTTGGTGGCGGGGAAAGAGGGAGGGGGCACAGTTGGGAAGCCACGCTAGCGAGATATACCTAGCGACAAGTTCGACATGGGCAAGATGGGGAAGGGGGGCACCATCAAATAAGGTACTTGGCGACTTCGTACCTACACGAAGGAAGGAGGGGCAACACCAAGGGTAAAGATCGGCCTCGAAAGGTATCCCCCTTCGTCGTTCAACAAGCTCTGGCAGCCACCAACTTGGCAAGACTCAAGAGTCGCTTCCTTGTCCAACATTCCTGCCTCGCTCATGTTCCCTCCTTCTTGCTATGCTTTCTTTTTCTTGCAGATACCCTCAGGTTCTTGTATTCTCTACCTAAGGTACCTCCCTGGAGGCTGGTGCTTCTTCACCTTGCCGCGTCTTGCTGGTCCCCATGGGTCCACCACTCGTGACCGCACAATTTGGGAAAATGCATTGGGTGTGATTCTCCTGCTGCGCCACAAAGACAGTCCACTTGTTCGATGTCTCCTTCTCGAGAACGTGCGGGTTTCTGCTTTCTTGACAACCTGCCCACCTACATGCCATCCATTCCATCCTGATCTTACCTGCGCATGGGACTCCCTCAGGTGATTTTCCATGATAATCCATCATCATCTTGCTTCCTGGTTGACAAAGAACGACACGAAGAATTACCTGACCGCGCATTCCCAAACACGCGCCTCCAAGGGTCCGGAGTTGTCGAATTAAGCTCACCCCCCGACCCCCGACTTAGAGTTCGCCTGGCGTGACATGCGCACGCAGCAAGGACCACTTTCACCCGAAGTTGCAGTCCGTCGCAGTCGCCGTCGCAGTCTTCTCTTGTCCGTCACCGCTCCGGCGCCCACGTCCAGTCACCAGTGGAGGTCCAGCTCCAGCTTACCTTGGGCTCCAGCTCCAGCATCTGCTGCGTGTGAAGTCTGAGCCCGATCAGATACCCGTACCTTGCCTTGGTGACGGGAGGAAAGAATCTGGCATCGCTACTGCCCGTGTCAGGTCGTTGTCGCCTCCTTCTTCCTCTTGTCTCCTTAGCCCACCTCCACCACAATCTCCGCCTCCGCATCGCCCTCCTGGTCCTCAACGCCATCCTTCTTGACCCCTTCCTCAGAGGACCTGACCAGAGTACATTTATACCTGCCTTGTTAAGCTACCTACCTACCTGGGGTAAGGTTAGGTATCGAGGCGGGACCTTCCATTCCCGTCCTTGACGTCAAGATCAAAGTATTCGGGTAAGTAGATATTCACCCATCTAATTCGACCGCCCGCCTCAATCGCTTCCTTCCCGGTCCCATCTCTTTTCTCCAACCGCTCACAGTCACGTTGAGTGTGTCAAACCACATCGCTCAGTCGCCTTCTCGGAGGTGGTCCCGATGCTTGATGCCAATTGAGACACACGTGTTGGGTCACACCTTCCTTCAGATGATGTTAGTTGCTTGGGCACCGCAGTCGGTGTGCCCTCCCTCGATGGGACATCCACACGGAAGCTTACACACACACACACACACGCACTTTTTCTTTTGGACCCATCTCCTGAGTCTTGCTTTCTCCTCGTTCAAGGGATCCAACCCCGCTGCTTCGACCATTTCTTCTTCGTCTCTTCCCTTTCCCCTCCCCCGCCGTCCTTTTCTCGCTTCCATGCCAATCCAGGCGCAGACGTTGGCAGAAGGAATGTAAGAATCGCGTCACAGTCGCAGACACGCTAAGGCAAGGCAGACAGGGCGACCTATCGCGGTGTAACGATAACTTTGCCTTGTGCAACCCGAACAGCTCAGCTGCCAGCTTACATGACGATTACTTGAAGGTGCTCGGCTCTACGGCTACTGCGTCTACATTGCACCATTTTTTCGTACGGAGTATCATACGTACCTGACCACGCAAATACTGCGCTCCGTTCTGTGCCAGGTACGAAACCTACACAGGTCACTCATCTAGCATCTCATCTCGTCTTCGGCTCGGCAAGCCGTCAGACTTCCTATCCGACGAGCGGGAATGTCCCAGTGGGTTGAAACTCTAAATCACGGACTCGACGCCAAATCAAGACACGTCCGGCACATCAGGTCATTTGACAAGCCTCAATTACACACTGGCGCTTCCACGTCTCGCCTCGCCCTTGTCTTTCTTTCTGGGCGCAGCGCTATCCGTACATCGAGGGGCTCCCGCTGTCTCTCCCGTCCGCTCCAACATCAGCCCAACAACGCCGTGGCCGTCTTGCCTGAATCCACAACAAACGACTAGAGTAAACTAAGAGACTTCTAGACCAGACAGACTAGCAGAGACAACATTCCGTCGCGCGCGGGAGACACGCCGGCCCCCGTCCGCCCCGTGTTTTGCAAGCCAAGCCCAAAGACGTTGAAACAGCGCATTAGGATTTACTCGGCAAGTTGGCAATTCGATCATACTTACCGATATCCAATTACCTCCCATCATCTGGAATCTAAAGTTCCGAAACGACGGCTGCTAGATCGAATCGTCCGTTGGACAGACTTTCACCCGCAAATTGAGCATCCAGTAACATCTTCCAAATTGCACCCGCCTCGTTAGCCAGCATTCCAAATTGTCTTGTCTCAGCAAAATACCGCACTTTCTCGATACCCATCTACCTTTTCCTCCAAAATCATAGCAGCCAGCAGCCAGCAGCCAGCAGTCAGCATTTCAGTTGGTAGGCGGATTCGTTCGACAAAGAACGGGCCAAGTTCAAGAAAGAAAAAAGGACAACGCAGACTTCTCGTGTCCGACTGACTCTGGCTCTGACCATCCTCCAGTCCAAGTGGAGCCATCACAAGAACTACCAAACTAAATTAGAGCACCAACACCTTGGTTCCGTTCAGTCCGTACTCCGTACTCCGTACCGGTGACAGCACGCACCTTGCACGCAGGACATTCCACGGCGGAGTCGACCACTTGGAGCGACACTCGCACGGCGCGGCGTGTGTACTCACAACTTTGCTTGCTCTGTGCCTCTGAAAACTTCCATCCGAGCTCCCATTCCGTCACCCGATCTCCCGTCCACTCGACCAAGTTTTGTGGAAGTTTCTTGTCTCTTGTCTCTTGTCACTTGCAGATTGTCGCGTTGCCTCATCTGCCACCCCACTTCATTCCTTCTACCTTCCACAGCTACCTTGGCTCTTTCTCATTCGCTTCCATTCACGTTCACATTTCCCCCCTACTTCATCTCGTGGCAGGCAAGTGCACGAACATTGGTCTCCACCTCTTTCCTCAGCTAGCGGGCGCGGGAAGGCATCCTGAGTTCATCCTGACAGTAGCGCGTTGCTAGGGCCTGCTGCTGGCCGTTGCTAGAATCTCGTCCGCCCCTGCCGGCTGGTCGCTCAGGTGCTGGTGGCAGGTGTTACCGTGCTGGTGCTGTTCTCTCCTTTGGGCCCATCTTTCCTCCTTACCGGTAGGACCCACCTCATCCGACCCGACCTGCACCACGTCCACGCTTCCTTCCTCCCCGAGCTCGCGCTAACGTTAACAGCCCCGTTGTCTCCACTTTCCGCATCTGTTCCCTTACCTTAGGCTCTTAGCCAAGGTATACCCGGTCGCGTCCCACATCGACCTCACCTCCCCCCTGGCCCTATCGTGGACCACAGACGTGGGACTTCGCAGCGCTCCCTCCACCACTATCCACTTTTGAATATCAGACTATCGCACCCGGCACCCGTGCACACACTCCCCCACGACCTCGTCTCCTCCATTCTGGACTGTGGACAGACCTGGGCACGCTGGTCTCGTGTATCCATCCGGACAAAGTACATGCCTTTAGGCATCCCGTGTTCCGTGCTGCTTTCCGTCCCTCCCCGTCCAGGGCATGCTTGGTGCGACAGTCATGGCTACTAGGCCGCGGAAGAGAAGCCAGCCCATGGACGAGGATCCTCCTCTCTTTTCCTATTCAACAGCCTCCGCTTCTGTCCCTACAACTACACCTTCATCGACGCCTGCCTCTACACCCTCGCCTGGAGACAACAACTCCAACATCAATGTCCAGGATTCCCAAATATGGAGCCCGGTAGGAGACTCCGAGTTTCCATGGTTCTCTCATGGAGCCAACACTCCCCGGCAAAGACGTCGAGTGTCTAAACCCCTTGAGGGTGACCGGCCCCTGGCACGATCAAAGCCATGTAAGCTGGACGGATTTCTTTACGTATCCTGAGCCGCCTGTGCCGCTCCCGTCCAGTATAGTGCGATTCCTGGCAGACACGAGAAGGGATGGAAGAAGAAGGAATAGATGATGATAGCACGAGGTCTTAGGAACCGTTGCCGACGAATCCTTGAGTAACAACAAACTAGCAATCCCTGATCCGTCGACGACATCGACTAGACATGGGGCACCGTATGGCCCACCAGTTTCTCCTCACCCGCCGCCAGATGTGATTTTCTCTCCGCGACTCCCTACTATAGAGGCCGACTCGGCGGAGGATTTGGACCTCACGAATCCCTTCGAGGATAACGCCGATGATGCGGATCGTCTCGTCCTGGGCAAAACCCGTATTCAGGCCGGAACTATTATTGATGGATACATCAAGTTCCACAGCGGCAAGTCGAGGGCAGCCAACCTACCGCGTCGACAGGCGGCGATACAACCGTCTGATCCCCAGGCTCTCCTGTCAGAACTATGTTCTCAAACGTTCTTGTTCGAGGCAGGCCTTGAAGACAATTGTGACAAAAATCTCTTCCAGTTTTGTGAGTCTCGGTACATCTGGCCAACATGGAGAATGGCTAACATTCTCAAGACGTCAAGGCATGGTGTTCTGGCCGGAGTGTCCTCCACAAAACCAACTGCTGGCTCGTCAACATCCCCCGAATAATGAAGGACAGCTCTTGTGTCAAGCACGCGATGCTAGCGCTTGCTGGAACATATGTCCTCGACTACCAACCCGAAGAGAGCATTCGACAAGTAGTCAATGCACACTATAAACGAGCCGTCCTACTCTTGACGATGGCTTTGAGAGAGGAGGCTCGGAGTCCCAGTCCCACGGAACACGAGTCAAACAGCCTGATTGCCGCCGTGACGCTGCTAAACATGATCGATGTTGTATCCCCAGAGCAACGTCGGCCGCCGAGTGCGGTTCCTCGTTGGCTAGAAGGTGCTCGCCTCGCTTGTCGTTTGCTGGATAAGTCGGATCCGGGTCATCGCTTCTGGGTACCCTCCAACATTCAGCCTTCCGACATGCAGATGGGCAACATGATCATCGCCGCCAGGGCCGCCATCATAGCCCTTCCCATGGCTCCTCTTGATTCGAAAGACACAGGAGAGCAATTTTCTTGGCTGTGCCAGGGCACTGAGCCGGAGACTCGCAGGATACATGGTGGATGCGGCATGTCGCCGATACTTCTTTCTCGTTTTGCTCAGATTACACAATTAGCAGCATGGTTGTGGGAAGACCCCAGTAGCAACGATTTTCACATGAAATCGAGCAGCAAAATAGTCCGCCAAGATTTGGGCAGGTTGCATCAGTGGACACAACCCGCCGCCGAGTCTCCGTCCTCTTCGGCCACAACGCGATCGGATCAATCTCGAGATACATCAGACAAACGCGCTATCGAAGATCGCATTAAGCGAAACGATTTCGGCCTTGTGATGGACGCAGAATCTATGACGGAAGTCACGGCCGAAGCATGGCGTCTAGCAGCCCTCATCTACCTTCGCTGCCGCCTCGAGAGACTACCTCGCTCTCACCCAGACGTCGTATCTGAGGTTGACCAGCTGGTGAAATGCATTGACATGATGCCAACCTATGGCACCTTCTTCACTGCGCAATCTCCATTCTTCCCGGTCTTCCTCCTAGGAATTGTGGCCACGACAGAGGCACATAGTCTTTGTGCCCTGAACTGGTTTCGATCGGTCGTCAGCACCAGTTGTCGCTCGGTAAGTAAAGTGATGAGAATCCTATAGTTGGTGTAAATTCTAACCAGAGATATCCCAGAGCGTGCCCCCTGCTTTCAACTCCCTTCTGCGTATCCGTCATTGGATAACGGCCAACGTTGATGACAACATTCCTTCCGACCTTCCTGACCTCATTTCAGAGCGACACTCCTGGTGGGAGCCACTCGTGGCGCACATTATTTCTACCGAAGGAACTTTGTGTTTGATCTAGAGGAAATATAGGGGCATTGATGACCAGACATTTGGAAGAGAGATGCATTTTCGCAGAATACTTCATGCTATTCATTCTGGAGCACTCTTTGTTTGCAATTCTTGCTTTCTAATGCAAGCATTTGTTACCTATCGTGCCTCTAAAGAATCGAGTGCGCTTCCGTCATCTCGTCATGGTTTGAGTCGTCCATCCGCCTCCGAAAGAATTCCCCATCCTCACACTATGAGAGATCAGAACCAGGACCACACATCTACCTCTATGTACACACAGTGTGCCTGTACAGCTACCGAGAATGGTCTACTCCCCGCGTACGTAGATGGCACTATCCGTCTCGTCAATGGAGTTCTCAATGGCAGCAGTGCGTATGAGGTACTGTCGCATGTCGGAACCCTCAATAGCCCACGACTTGACGACTTCGAGGCCCGCCTCGGCGCACATGTTGTGTACGTCCTCCTCGTTGCGCTTGTGAGCGTCGAACCAGTCGATTTCTAGACCCTGCTTTAGCGTCTTGCCCTCTTTCTCGGCAACAATATCGCGCTTTGCCTTGAGGAAGAAGCGATGGCGCTTCTCATCCTCCTCGATTTCACCACAGATATCCCAGTCCTCGGGCTTGAAGACATCCTCACCAAGGAGGACATTAGCGTGCTTGAATCCATTATGGAAGAATTTCTCGAACAGGGCGGGGTGGGTGTGGTAAGCAGCCCAGACCTTGGTCGAGGTGACGTCGTGGCCGTCCATGCCGGCGAGGATGAGGTCGTCTGGGCGCATGAGGGCAGCCCACTCACGGAGCAAGGTGACAGCCTTTTTCCAAGGGTCGTTGAAGAGGACGGAGCCCAGAGAGAGGAAGACTCTAGGAGAAGGAATGTCGTCACAGAAGGCGAGGCCTGCCTTGAAGTCACCCCAAAGGCCTGCCATGCGGACGCTGCCGGCCGCGTGCTCAGGGGCAAGGGCCCCGAGGTTGCAGGTGAGGGAGTGGTTCGAGATGTCGAGGGCGAGGTACGTGGCGTTGCGGCCGTGCTTGGCAAGTTCTTTTAGGAGGAAGTTGACCTTGCGCATGTCACTGTAGATGAAAAGAAAAGAAATCAGCAAGTAATCATTACCCTAACATATCAAATATAAATAAGAAAGGGAGTAATCTTACCCAGCTCCCAAGTCAATCATGGTAGCGTCGTTGGGAATGTAAACGGTCGCCATCTCCTCGCTATTCTTCTCGAACAAGACCATCTCGTCGCGGGTCTGATAGAACTCGGGGGTGAAGATGACTTCTGCCCAGATGGCCAGCCCTTCATCGTTGTACAGCAGCTCGTCGGGCATGGTTGGGATCTCGACACTGCCGCCAATACCGGTATTCTCGTGCTTGGCGGCCACGGCAAAGACGCGCTGGAGGTCCTCGAGGATGGCGGAGGACATGCTTCCGCCGCCAATGTCGAGCACGCTGCCGTGAGCGGGCATGTTGATTATTTTTGATTGGGATGCCATTGTTTTTTTCTTCCTTTTCTCTTTCCTTTCTTGTTTCTTGTGACTTGAGGTGGACAGGAGATTTGAAAGGGGTTTGTTGGTTTTGGTACTGCAGGTTGCCGTCTTGGTTGACGTTTCTCCCGTTCTTTCCCGATGAGAATGACGTGGGTTCGAATGTCGGTGAGGAAACGGGTGGTTAAAAACGTGTGAAAGTAATGGCAATGACAATGGACAGGAATAGTTTGACTTTTGTGTAGGTGGTAGAGTAGAAGTTGATGAGTGTTCGTAAAAAGGGAAGAAGCTCAAACGATGGAGCTCCCAGCCGATGCCTTTTATACATAATCCCCCTCTTCGACTGACGCAGGGTTTCTGCCACCCCAGAGAAGAACTCCTGAATCACTCGTCATTAAGAGCATGCCGTTATTCACGTTTTTCTGCACCTTCCCTTCCCTTAACCCCCACTGAACCCCATTTCCCCTTCATCTCATCTCATCCTCATTATAAGACCTGCGATATTTGAGTGGATGAGAAGGGGAGGGGTGGGCATGGGAGGTCTCTCCTTACGCCTCTCCCCTGGCAAACATATATATGCACAAGCGCGCCGAGCGAGGTAGGCGGTGGTGTTTGTCCACATGAAGCCATATCCCACTCGGCCCTCGCTCTCTCTCTGGTTGGATGGTAGCCACGAGGACAAGGAGAAAGATGCATGCACGTAGTAATGCCACTGACGATTCAAGACAAAGTGCCAAATCCCTGACTTACACCAAGTGAACCCAAGCAACCCCCACCCTTGACCTTGGCCTTGACGTTACTCGATCGCCGACTGCGAAAAGAGGTTAAAAGGGTTTCAGCAGCTTGAGCAGCTGAACAGCCCAAACAGAAAAGTCAGACAGGCAAACAAGAATCCAACGCCCAAAGGTACCTACCCACCTACCTTTTCTCCAGTCCGTCGATCGTCGGTGAGATGTGGAATCCGCGCCTCGTCGTAGACGGGTACGTTTCCCGATGAGACGTCTCTGATCCCACAGCCCTGTTCATGCTTGGGCAAACCCAGTCAGTCAGGCTCATTCGACAGCCTTGACATATCAAGGACAGGCCCACGCTAGGTCCGGCGCGGCCCTCCTCTTGTCTCATTCCTCCTCCATCCTGCGCCAAGGGCGTCGCCCTCATTCTCGGAAACGTCACCCATTTTTGGTTCCTTGACCGGTTGGACGGGACCGAATCAGCCCAACTCAGGGGGAAAGACAAGACAACGAAGGCGTTCCAAAAAGAAACAAGAAAAAGATCAAAGGGGTGTGGTTGGACAAGGGGCGGTGGTGGTGGCCACCGACGCCGCAACGCGGGGTCCGCAGTCAACGCGAAAAAGGAGTGAGGACCGGGCCGTTTCGGGGGTCGTCGGAGAGAAAACGTAAAGGGCTCGGCGGCGTAGATCATGCGGAGGCTGGTACCACGATCGAAGTTCCGCACTTCTGCTTTCCTATTGTTGGGTCACAAACGCTGGCCATTGTGCGTTGTCCCACTGACACCCACAAACATTACGATGTTGCTGGGCCTGCATGCTGGTTTCTCAGGGCAAAGACGCGGCAACTGGTTAATTGGTCCTGCAGTTTGCCTATGCAGCGGATAAGTATGGCGAGATTCCACTTCACAAGAGGTCATGATGGGGCGAATGAGTTTTGGATCCGAATGGCGCAAGAAACACTCTCGCATATGCGCTGGCTCGCTGGCCTGCTGGGAGAATGGGTAGGATGGATGGCCGCCGGCTGATATCCTTTCCTCGGTCAAGACAAAAGGGCGAATCCGATGCGACCCCACGGCTGATTGATCGAGACACTGTCGAATCGGGCTGACATCCCGCACATTTGACAGCCATGCCCATAAGCTCGGTCAACCTAACCTGCCATCCACGTAGGTCAAAAGGTGCACATCGCTCCCCGGATGAAAGACGTCGGACTCATCTTTATAACCGGGGAGGTGGGTTTCGTGGGTCTCAATGTCGCAGATATGACTGGCTATCTCGCGTGATTCTCCCCGTTCAGAAGGGGGATGAGTTATCATATTAATTAAAAAGCGCATCTTCACCGAGCTTCGACTGTCTCAACGCCTCATTTCCCGTCCCCTATGCACCGCATATCTATCAGTAGGTTTCTCACATGTGGTTTTGATGCAACGTATCAGGCCTCCATTCTCAAGAACGGCAGGCCAAAGCAATCGATAGGCATGTAGTGTCAATTGCAGCCTCTCCAAAGCCAAGTTGACGAGTTACAGGTGCCCCTTTCATACGGATGTGGTCAATCCTGTCCGGCCGCAACACGTTTACTCGGCACGAATGGTCTGTGTGTTTCTGGGCCGTCCTTGGGCACTACGCACCGGCTCCGGGTTGGCTTTACGGAGCGGTCCGCCTAGTATCCGTAGGGAGATGACGAACAACGCAAGGCCTCTTGATGGTCTTTGCGGTCGTGGAGATCGACCGCGGAATGTAACCCTGGGTGGTTGCAAATCCCCAAGCTTATCGTTTGTCCGGTTGAGACCGGCCTGGAGACACGACTCAAAGACGAGAATGCTCCTTCATGGCCAAGGACTGATGATGCACTTGAACCGCCTGCGCCAGTTCGCGTTATCCCATCAAGGGGGCATGTTAGGGGTCACGAAGTCTTGCTTATTGGCGGAGCTGCGGTTGACCCCAGTGCAGATGTCTCGCCTTTTCTAGCCACGTCGGGGACTTGTCTGGCGGGTGACTTGCAACACCTGCTGGTCTGACTGGGAAACCGCACCACGGGAAGCTGATTCGTCGTCAAACGACTCCTTGAGCGACGAGGAAACCGGGCAAAGAATAACGAAATGCAGCCCTGACTGAGCTCAGTGCTTTGGTGAGGATGTGCCCGGAACCTTCGTTGGACCGTCACAGCGGGCCTCGGAGAATTGGCAGATGCCCACGGCCGCTCGGCAACGTCAAGCCAAACCCTGGAACCTGATCCAAGCATGAAGGTGGCACAGCCTGGTGCGGAAGGGCCAACGTTTCTGCCGCACGCGCCTCGGAACAACGAGTCCTGCGGCCGGGTCCTCATTCTCGAACACAAACATGCCCTTCGTCTGGCGACGTCGAAGGGCTGTAGGCACAAAGCGCATCGAGTGTGTTTTCTTGCAGGTTTCGGGTGGTTTGAGCGCCCCCAGACTCGCTCATCCGACTGATCGAATTACTCGGTAATTACGGGTGAACCATGGTGTCGGATGTCGATGATTCCAGCCAGACGGACGCGACCCAGGCTGACCGGGGTCGGCATTGCTCCCGCAAGATCGAGGTTCCCTGTTGAGCGGCCAAACCGCGCAGAGTCAGGCCAGATCAGGCAGCCTTTCTAGCTGAGCCATCGTCATGGATCTCCCCGCTGGAGCCCGTACCGTTACGCAAGGCCCATGAGAGACGCTACGACGCTCGCTCGCAAGTCAAAGGCAAGGCTGATGGAGCGAGGCAAAGCTTGATATTCGACCTTTGAGGCTTTCTTCACCCGAACAGCACAGATGGGTCGCATTCTAGGCTGTCTGCGTAGGTATGATAGCCTCGTATTTGAAAATCCGGAGGGATTCAGCAGCTCAATCCTGGCATGGAATCATATCGATTCAACATCCTTTTTTTGTTCCTTTTTCTTTTTTGCCTGTTGATTCCAAGGAATACTGGCAAGTCTGATGACCGCTGCACCACGCTTACGACAGAGAGCAAACTGTATTCGTACCATGAGCTGGAAAAGGGAGGTGGGTATCTCCCAGCGGCCGTCGGCCCCGATGAGGGTGTGGAGCAAGCGGCTCAACCTGTGAAGTTTGAGGATTCTTGACTCAGTTCTCGCCATTCGGCCGGAATGAACCTTTGATGGTGGTTTCAGAATTTGAAGATGCTTCAGCGATCAATTCGCCCCCCGTGCACCTGGACGGGACGAAGAGACGAAGGTTGAGATGACCGTTGTTGAGAGCCCAATGCTGCCCAAGGTGGAGGTCAACAGCCTCCAGTCCGGCCGGGACTCGTCAACAGGCGACTTCTATGGGAGGTGGTGGCGGCGGCGGCGGCGCCGTCGATACCTTCCAGAAGCCAAATGGAAGAAAAAGAAAAAGAATCAGACGCGTGTGTGCGTGTGTGTGTGTGTGCAGCCAGCGTGACGTTTCCATCCCCGAGCGGCAAAAGTTGGACGCGTTGCCTGCCGATCTCTGCCCTGTATCTTTTTCTTTGCGTTTTGCCCGCGACGGGTTGTCCTCCCACCTACAAGATGGCTTTGTACGAAGGGATCATTACTGGGGTGCCAGGCATTTGCCGCGGCCTCATGAAAGTGCTTTGTAACTGTACGGGTACGGATGTAGCTGCTGAATACCAGTGGATTTGGACAATTCTGGTGTGTCGACCTTTTGCCTTGCTGCCAGGATGATAGTGGAACAGCGGAAATGCCGGTACCGCCGCAGAGTGGTCCAGCAGAAAAGCATGTCAAGGGTTGCCCATTATGGTTGACGAATCCTGGACTTTGATCGTTGAGGCATTGTGTACCCGGGGAGGAAAGTGTCCATGCATCACCGTCTCCCCAGCGAAGAGGAGTGTGCGCTTCTGTCTGGGGTGGCTCCGTTGTTCTTGATGGTGGTGGCTGCTGGGGATCAGAACGGCCAACGGGCGGGCCATAATGTTGAACTTTGCGACCCTATAATTTGACGATAGCCATCAAACCCTCATGGAGCAAGCATTGATGAAGGCCTGGCCATGAGCGGTTGACAGCTCTCGAGTGCAACTGTGCCCTTCAAGGAACACATGAAGACAGCGTAACACAGCCGGCCGGCGGTCATCTCGGATTCAGTTCATCCCACTCAGCTAAGTTTAGCTAACAGACGTAGTCTCCTCGTGTGAGTGGGTCTAACGAGATTTAACATGCACATCCCTTCAACTGCCGGAGCCTTGTCTGGCACTCCCCGACTCCTGAGCCAGTGAGCCTTGACCTGACGTTGTAACTCATCGCCCTCGCCTGGTCGATGCCAGGCAAGGCAAGCAACGCAAGGCGAAGCTAGCGCCTCCCCGTGTCGTGCCAATGAAGGGACGGGTTGGTGTTGCAACTGACAGTGGTCGAGATTCCCAAAGGCCACGATTCGGCACGGGCGTTTCATGCCCAGATCGAAAAAAAAAAGGTGGTTGTCTGCGGAAATGGACGAAAGTATCTCGACGGAGCGTCCGTTGATGGAGAGAGATTAGGTACTCAAACTGCTGCTCGCAGTGGCTGCGATTGAGGGCCTGGGGCGCAACTATTGGTTATACCCTCGTGGTGAATGTCTGAAATTTTTTTATCCTGACTAGCTCGCTGGCGGGACGCATCCAGTTGGCTGACATGCGTATCCGCCACAATACATTCCCCTGGGTGGACGTCAGACTGACCGAGGCTTGGCCTTTCTTGAAGTCTCTGCCGCATCAATTGAAGATACCTACACCGCTCTGTACTCCGTAGTCTAGACGGATACCTGGGTGATTGGGGGCGGTTCTGAACGGGGCATTGATTTGGGTACGGTAGATGTGATGGGTCATCCGCTGATCGTGGTGGTGATCAGGCCCAGTGTTCGTCTGCTGTGCCAGGCCCGACGGTCCCCAGTGCGGCACGGGAGACATCTGGCTAGAAGACGGGTATCTTTTTTCTCTTGCATTGAAGGGTGGTGACGGACGTCAGGTCGTTCCGTGTCACGCGTATATCCGTGAGTGAGGGAGGCCCGATTGCAGGGTGTCGGCGCGCATCACTGGCTTCGATGTCGAATCGTTAAGGGCCAATTTTGAGAGCCCGAGAACCGTCTTGCTACTTCGAGCGAACTTATGCGTTGAACCGTCGTCGATGACCGCGATACCTATTGCTTCTTGGCGCTTGAGGAAATAGACGTACGGATACAAAAAGAATGGACGGAAATAGACGTGATCTTCGGTTTCGCGGCCCTCACCGAAGCTGCTAGCATGACAAGGCCTACCAAGGCTAAAAAGACTGGTAAGTATCAGACAAGGAATCCATGAGCACGGGAAGTTGTTTGGGCTTGGTCAATGGGGTGAGACCGTGAGAGGACAATATGGATACAGACACAGATACCAGTACAATCTGCGGAGTATAGGGAAAGGGAAGAGCAGAGGCCATTTGCGCTTGGCCTGCAAGTGCCTCCCTCTGTTCGCGACTTCACATCACGGGGTAAAAAGCACCACCTGCCGGCCGCAGCTGACGAGGTGTAAATGGAACAGAACTTGCTAGGCAAGGGGCAGGCACTGGCCATAGCCCCATGGCATGAAGCTAGATCCCGCTGAATCTCGCTGTATCGAAGGAGGCCAGCAACAGGACACGGTCAAGCCACTGCGGGAGCAAGCACCCCGCAGCTGTCCACCCAGCGGTCGAGAGCGCTAGACGTGTTCGTACAGTTGGACACACTGTCCGGTCATGGCTTTACAGTGTGCGGACTGCATGCTGCCTGAGTACCTTGGACTGTCGAGGATCCTCCATTGTTCAGTATAGACACAGATACAAAGGAAACATGAGCGCCCTTACCTGAGAGTAGACAATTCTCCCGCTACCAAAGGCATCGCTGGCTGCTGGCGAGGAACCTGGAACGCCGTTGAACCAGAGAACAACCTTGGCCGTAGTAAGCCCAGGGGTCGCGTAGCACAATCGTAAGTGATCCTCCATGGAAGGATGAATAGAAAAGAATCCTGCATGGAACAATCATGGAAGCTGTTCAAGCCTCCAAGCTCAGGCGGTTGGCGTACGCCAATCTTCCATCCCTTGCCAGCCGCTGCCGATGTGTCTAGCGACGGCTATTTGCGCTAGAAGCGAGGCATCTCGCTTTAGCGTCGGTCCTTGAGCTCCCCGTGTTGACATGGTCGAGTGCTTGATAGATTGTAAAGTGGTCAGGGGTTGTGTTGATGCCCGCGTTGCTGCTGATGATGCAACGGCAATCTGCATGCCGATGCGCAAGCACAGAGAGCATGGAGTCGGATCCAACTCGTTACCGCCCAAGACTCGGCCTGGGTCCCAATTCCATCAGCTGGCAAACATGCGAGATACACTCAACCTGTATTCGTCACCACTAGTGCATGGCGACCAATCTGGGCATATCTTCTGAAACAGATTGTCCCGACACGCCTCGCAGTCTGAGTCGTACACACGCGATTTAGCTCATGTTTGCCGTTTGGGACGATGCGCGATGCACCAATTTGGTTGCAGACTGCTCGCAACCAACTCACCTCACCCAAACTACAGAGCACTAAGCTGAGGTGAGGCACGGTACTCTGTATATCCGTACCTTGTCACCTAATTGTTTGACAGCACACCTCAGCAGAGTCTCCTGCCTCTGGCTGACCGCTTCGCTCATCTGCTTTTGCGCCTGTTCTTAATCTTGAATCGTCCGTGCCACGTCGATTGATCTACTCACAGTCGTGCGCTAGCTCTCCTACCTCTTTGCGGTCAAAAGGTTGGGGGGACTAGGGGTCAATGCCACCAAAAGCTCGTGAGCTTCGACAGATTGGGCTGTCTGTAACCGTAGTTGGACGGCTCGCACAGACAATCGTTGTTCAAAGTCGCCTGCGGCAATCTCCGCTGAGGCTCGCTAGTCCAAAGACCTTGTCACCTGGACCACCCCATGGACCATGCATGACGGTTGTAATAAGCCGTGGGTTGCTTCAGCCGTGGGAGTCTGGGAGATGCCGTGATGCGCCCGTGCCTGAGCTGAGCCCTGACGAGGCGGGTACGGGTACTGTGTGTAATAATCCGCAGAGGGCCGGCCGTCAATGGGCCTTTCAATCAGTCTGAGCTTTCGGGAACAGAGCCGCAGGACATCACCTTGACTGTGGTCGACAAGGTACTATCTGCCAGTCTGGTGTCTTTTCGTGAGTGCTCTGGCGTCTGATGCTTGACGCTGGTCATGCGGCGAGCCTGACTGCATCGCAAATCGTCCAGTCCTTCAACATCCAACCCTACTCTGCAGCCGGCTGTCCCGTTCGTAAGTCAAGGCAGCCATGCGAGCATTCGAACGGGCGGCCAGGGCGACAAACATACGTCCAAAGCCCTCGGCGCGCTGTCAACGGCGTGTTTGAGGCCTCAAGGCCCGTTCTTGACACACGCCCCTTTGCCATGGATCCCAATAACGGTAAAGCCAATGGGCCAGTGGGAGACGGGCCCCCAGTCTGCGCGCGCGAGTGCCCCCCGGTTCAAGGCTGATACGACACAAGGTGCCTGGCTCTGGGGCCTTGCCTTGTGCAGCAGAAAGTCCGTGTAATCTTGTGCTCGTCGGTCAATTACCCGGGGGGGCCTGTATTCATCCAACCTTCTCGAAGTATTCCAGAAGGAATGGAGAGAAGAAAGAGGCCTTCCAGGGATAGATTGACATCGAGCACCCCACCCTCGTCGCAGATGAAGCGGCGAGACGGCGGCGCAGCCCATCCCTTTGACGCAGCTGTAATTCCACGGCGGCTCACACGCCGTCGATGCCTTCTAGAAGAATTCTGGAAACCTTCCCCGCTAGGCCTAGCATCAATCTCCTGGCTGCATGCGAGGGCCACTAGGCCTCCCCACGCACTCAACTTTGCGCCAGGTTTGTGCTCACATCCCTGTGGGTTTCGGTCAGAGATGCTGGCAACACCCCTTTTTGGCCATTGCTCCCTAGCTCTGATGTTCATTTGTCCTTAGCGCAAAGGGCGGCCCTAAGAGTGGTAGAGTCCTGGGACATGAAGGTCGTCGCTAAACAGACGGTACCTGCGTCTTGATGTCGTCGTCGTCGTTGTTGTTGTACCTTTCCGCGTGACAACTATGAGGACATCGCAAGCCATGCATATTTGTTATGAGCTTGCCCGTGTTAGGTGATGCCAATGCAGGGCTTCGGTCAAGGGTAACCAATCCGAGGAGAAATTATTCGACGTACGGCCGTCGCGTCACTCGACTCTGGTTTTTTTTTTATTCCCTACGCTACCGAACGTTAGCGTGTAGAAATATTCGCCCTTGGAGCTCGAGAAAGTCGATGTAGCATTTTGTTACTTTGAAAAAGACATACGGATACAGGGCCAGAGACGCACAGAGTCGCCAAAGGTTTCCGAGATATTCAGTTAAGAATAAAGACGAAAACTGAGGGGTAGCAAGCGGTACGATAACCATCGAGGACGTTGAGAAAGAACCCATTGCAAGTTATTCAACTGTTGTCCTTCTGCCTCTCTTCCGATGTGCCAATCTGTTTGTCATCCCAAGAGCCGTGGGCAGACCCCGGTTCCAATAATTTGGGCACATGACAACGGTGACGGCATCAGCCAAACCATCTTGCCAACCTCGAGCCGCTTGTGCCTGATTGTCGGGCCTCTGCATCGACATCGACACGGCTGTCCACAGAGTTTTTGGCAAACAGCCAATCTTTTCCAGAAGCAATGGAGCCCTTCCACGACCATGCCCCTTTGAATCTTTGGTATGGCGGAGCAGCCGGGAGTCCCTGCACCTTGTACTGTCGCACCCTCGCACCTTTTACAGGGCCCTTGGATCGAGATTGGCCATGCTAAGGCATCCATACGGCGTAAAACCTGGCTGTGCGCTAAACGTCAGTGACAAGAGCCGGATAGGAATGGGCAAGAAATAACAAGCAGGGGGTCGTTCAAACAGCTCCAGCGTAACTTTGTTTCGCGACTTTGATACGTGCTCTGAGGGTAGTAGCAAATTTGGAGGTGTCCGAGCGTTCATTGGATGGCACTCTGCACCTCGTTGCCGTAACATTGCAGCCCGGCATAATTAATGGAACTTGTAGAAGCGGCCGCCAAGAGGAAGTCAACGCAAACAAGAGGGAAGCGACAGCATCTGAGGCGGCTAGGTCGCGGGTTCTCTTGATGAGTGTGATGCGTGGGAGATGAGTGGTGAGAAGAGGTGCGGTCAACCATCAGTGTTCCATCTGTAATTTTCGCCATTGGAGAGCAAGGGTGGATATTTGGACTCGCGAGATACTTTGTAGTGGATGGGCAGTTGTACAGTCAGTATTGAAACCCGTATTGTTGTATCTGTACTGCAGCGCAATGGCGTTGCGAAATGGAGTGGCTTTGACCACACTCTGTCTGTCCTCATTGACAGCGTACGCTCGAGGGTGCTCGGCCAGTGCCAACGGTGACTGCCCAATCGAGAAGGGCAGTGACCAAATGGAAGCTTTGGAACATTCGTCCGGCGCAGGGTCAAAGCACCGCCAAGTCTAGCTTATCTGATGAGCTTTGAGTGCTGCTGGGTAGCGGCTCATACGGAGCACTCCGTAGATGCTTGCTTGCGGACGTAGTCATCGATAGGCGGGCAGCATATTCGCGTGCGGTGCCGAATGAACAATGGTTGATACGTGTCTGGCTAAGAGGACGAAGACATTTTGTCTTTCATCATTGACCCAACGTGGTTGATCGCATTCGAAAGAAAGCAACGCAAGAGTGAGTTCTCTAGGTTGCCACACAGCTTGGCCGAGTGCTGGACCGGAGGAAAAGCGATTTGAGGGGAGGCAAGACCTGACTCTCGACTCTCGACTCTCGAGGCAAAGGAAACACATGCGAACACCCAAGCCCCTGGTTTCCGCCCTATCGTAGGTTTTGTATGTGGGGTTGCGAAAGGTAAATTGGATGTGCCATTCTCGCTCCTGAGTGGGAGAGGAGCGACCCACTACTGGGGTGGAGATGATGGCAGAAATAACCCGATTGTTTGATGATGACGAGGCAAAACGAGAGAAAAGCCAAATAGCATTGCTGGGGTCTGTGTTAGGCGAGGGCAGCTGCCAGGCAGCCGGAGGCATACTGTGTGCATCCGAGAGGTATCGGTAAGGTAAGGTACGCAGCAAGGCCTGTCGATTTGGCGAGGCACCCCTGAGCTGTGTGGAAGGATGGAAGAAAAGAAGGGGGTCAAAGAAGTTTGAGAGTTGGATGCATTCGTACAGTATTACTTTGCGTCTGCATGGCGGCGGGCTGAGGGTGATGATGATGAGCAGCGGAGGTGACAGCGGTAGCGGATTCGAGTGATGAAAGATGGTCCCCTATTCCCCTTTTCGTCCATTGATGATGCATTGCGTGCAGATTGGTCTGACAACGAGCGTGATGTTTGTATGCATTGTCGAGGGCCCATTTGTCAGTTGTGTTGATGGTGTTGAGACTCGAGGGCAGTGGCCTTGTGGTGCTCCGTCGGCGTTGGCAAGCTGTCAGCCGCAAACTGTCGATGGCACCCCAGTACGAAAAGTCAGCCGCAGGGCTTTGGCAGAAGACAGCTTGAGAAGAAATAGAACAGGAGGCATATCGGATGGGAGAAAAACATAGCAGGACGTTGATTGAAAGTTGTCGCTTCATATCCGTACGAGTGTTTTACTCTGTACTTCACAGTGAAGAAGGTGCGGTGTCGTGATAGGTACTTCTTCTCCTGTTGTATGGAAAAGGCACACGATGTACATGTGCTGAGAGGCATCAGGGGCAGGAGCAAGGCAGTGTCTCTTTCTGGCCACTGACACTTGCCATTCAAGTCAATTACCTTGGCAAGCCGCTGCGTCTAGTTGCCTTGCAAATCTGTCCAGGGGAAGTTGATGCCGTCACTTTCTCTCTTCCTCTAAGGTATCCATAAGAGATGCATGGGAAATGGAAGGCACAGAATAAACGGTTGCTTCACGCATAGTTAGGTAGAGCTCGTAAGATGGTCACAGCCCCTGGAGGTCGGCGGTGGCCCAACCGGCAGCACAGAGACGATCGCCGCCGACTCCAGGTTGAGCAGGCCCAGCAGTGTGGAGCAGAGGCAGGGAAGCTGAGCACTGGAGCCCCCTTCCACTTGCCGAAGAGACAAGATCGGCCTCGCACTGTCTGTTCTGTGTACACCGTGCATCGGCAAGGTACAGCTAGAGCAGTCGGTGGCAGGCACACTTCAAGGTACCTCGATATTTTGAACATCGTCACAGCCGGTGCCGGCCAAGGTAAGGTAGGAGAGGGAGAGGATGGGAAAGAGAGGGAGTACCTTACGCAGTAGGACATGGGGCGACGCAGGAAGAGAGAGAAAAGGGCGAGGAAGGTACACCAGCAGTGCAGGGGCGAGTGGAGAGCTCCAAGACAACAAGGGAAACCTGGAAGGGGGCAGGCCGCACGCACCCTCGTACCTACCCATAATCGGTTCATGTGTCGTTGCTCTTTCCATGCGGCAACACCAGCCCGACCCGACCTAGTAAGTACCTCATGACCTCTAGGTGGGTGCTGCGGTACCTTACCTTAGCATGATGGTTGTCTGTCTCCATGCGCTACCTAAGTACCCAAGTATCCAAGTGCCTTGCAAAAGTGCTGAGCGTGAAGTGTGTTCCATTTGGACGTCTCCTTGTACCTTCGTACCCATGTACTGCTGTACCTTACCTCGCACCCCCGTTCGTTCCTGCTTCAGCGTCAATGGCCCCCAGTTGTCCCAGCTAAACCGTTCGTTTCAATTCACCAAGCTTCCGCACTTGGGATCTCACTTGACCTGACTTGGGGGGAGGGTGCGCTCTCTGGTTCTCGACATGTCATGTACCCTCTCTTCTTGTTCCAAGACTGACGATACGTGCGTTTTGCGTGTGTGCGCAAGTCCATGTGTGAGTGTGATGTGTGAGGACATCGTCTGTACCTTACGAATAGAGACGGTTGGTATCTGAGGTTTGTGAGAGATGTGTGTAGGGTAGGTACTGATAGGCGTGGTTGCGTGGTGTGAGCAATGGGTCAAGCAGCAAAGGTACATGTTCGCCCAATTTGCATGCAAGAAACTCATATTACACGCTGTCCTCTTTCCTCTTTTTTTCTCATATCCATAGTCTGATCCGTCTACCTCTTTTCGTACCTGCGTATCCGAACGACATTGTTCGATTCATAAGATTAATAAGGATTCCGACGCCAGCCCTCTTTCGATCCATCCATCCCACCCATCCAGCAAGCTACAACAACGCAAAAGCCAAACCAGTCATACATACCTTACCGTACGGATACTTTGTGTACCGACTCGACTCGACGACTCGACGTATCGACCCCATTCTTTTTTTCTCACCGATCCGTTTTACTACGCAAACCACACCAGTCCCTCAGGTGCAGGAACAGGAGTAGGGGCCAGGAGCAGCAATACGGACAGGCCCAGTCACAGCAAG